ACCCTAACCCTAACCCTAACCCTAACCCTAACCCTAACCCTAACCCTAACCCTAACCCTAACCCTAAACCCTAACCCTAACCCTAACCCTAACCCTCTCCTCGAGTCGCCTCTAGTTACGTGTCTCTGTATCCAAGTTCGCAGTAATCTTGAATCCCTACTACCCAACGTTCACGCAACGTGCGGCGCAGTGATGAGGCTGAAGGAGGGGATAACCGCCCACCGGCAAACTCTCCTCGAGTCGCCTCTAGTTACGTGTCTCTGTATCCAAGTTCGCAGTAATCTTGAATCCCTACTAGCGCTGCTTGACACAGGTTGCAAAGTGGATTTGATGTTCGGAACTGCAGGAAGGACGGGAAACCTGCCAGTTCATTCATTCGCCCACTCTTTATGGGTGAGCTTCGATAATGGTAGATACCACAAGCGAATTGGCAGTTGTATGGCCATACAACCACAGCTTTATTCAGAAATGCGTCGTATTTCTATTTTGAACAATCTAAGGATGGCGACGGCCCAACTATTCACTAATCATCTGTGGAACATCTATAGTTGTCGGAAAAGCATCATCGTTAACAGAAACCCGATATCCGTTGGCGCTTTCTAGCGCAAATACATGAAGCGGCTAAATATAGTCCATAACATGAGCTTTATGAACCATCCATGCGGCAGATGACCATGTTGAATTCACCTTTCGGCCGTGGAATGATATCACAGTACAGAAGGGGACACGGAAGGTTAATAATAGACGAGAGCTGGGCAACCGCGTACTCACCAATTAGGAAAGCCTCAACACTCAAAAGGATGAGGCCCGTACTGCTGCCGCAGGTGTACTTACTAAGCAAAAACACGGTGTTCCTTACTCAAAAGGATGGGGCCCGTACTGCTGCCGCACGTGTACTTACTAAGCAAAAACACGGTCACATTACACAATATCGACAGTATGAAACAGATAATTCACCACGATTGGCAACGTTTTGAAAAGACAAGCTCTGCCGGGGGAACAACGCCCTTCCCCGTTACTCGTGGCTGTTGTACTGCACGGAGACTTGTGTTGCTAATGTATTGATGTAATCCGCTGTGCAGCCGATGGATTTGCTGTTCAGCACCCCCCATCTCTCGCACAGCAGCAGAGGCTGCTGCAGATGTGCCTGCACACTGTGGGACAACCTCGTTTTGTGGAAATGGAACACTTGGAGCAGCGACTGCAGTGCGACCACCAGAGCCTGCTGCTGCGCTGGATGCTGAGCTGAAGCGTTCGATAGGTTCGTGTATCCCCTGGTTTCCGGAGAAACGGACGTTCCACATGCGTGTGTCTGTTCCGGTAGCAGCAAGACCGCCATGCGTTGCTGAGGGATCCCTGACGCCATCCCACTTTGTCCAGGACCAACCATCAACAACAGCAACCCAGCCTTCACAAGGAAGTTGCATTTTCGCTTATACACATTGTGCGCACGTGGAGGACGACGAATAGTAGAAGGTGGATAGATAATGCAGATATTCAAGAGCAATGCATGGATTGAAAAGAAATCGAGGTTTCGCATTTGCAGTTGGAGTTCAGAGGAGAGCCTCAAGCCACCTGCCGGAGCTCTGTCACTGATGCAGTTCTTGGCTGTAACCCTCCTTGGAACCGTCGTTCGATCCCTGGTGCAGACTATTCAGAGGCTGCCTGTGACGGCTCCGGCCGAACTGCACAGGGAGCAACAGCTGCTCTAGCAAACACAGCACTAGCTGGGCAGCGGACCGGTGCAAGCGTCGATCTTTCCTTTTGGGCCAACGTTGCGGGATGCGTCCGCTGCCGGCGGCAGCATGACGGTACATGAAGGCTTGTAGCAAAAAGGACAAACTATTGCAAACTTAAAAGTTACACATGGGCTTTTAGGGGGAAATTTCACCGTCTTCCATGACAACCAGCCTTCATTTGCAAATTGTTTGCAGAAGGGCATAAATGGAGGGGGATCCCCAAGTATAGAGCGGCACACCGCACGCAGACAGGCGCTGGGAGGCTATCAGTGAGGACCCTTGTAAAGGATGCGGCAAGAGGGTTTGTTTGTTTCCACCGAACCGTGCGTGTCTAGGGGAACTGCTCAAGTTGGTACGTGCTCTTCTGCCCTATGATCTGCTCACAATACAGCCGTCCTCTCGACCGAAGGAGCGGTATTCACCGGCGGTAAGGGCATACTAATCTACTCCAATGGAGCACACGGCTGTTACCAACTCTTCACGTCAGACGGAAGCACTGTATCCGTGTGGGCGTATTTCCTCGAAGCATCTGTACATGCAGCTCCGTGTTTTCCGATGCCTTTTAGGGGCTTGATCAATGTGTAGTCTTAAACACGGACTTGCAAACATCGACAGCAAGCAGCCTGTTGTTGTGACCTCGATCCCCATGGTGCGTGATTATTGCGCGCATACCCAGCGGTAAAGGAGAAAGTAACAGTCTGCAAGTCCGCAGTCTGCCCCACATAGAATGCGAACAAAAGGCAGGCTTGCACGAGACTCCACCACTGGAGCGTTCATCTCATGGCAAGTTGCTTCCACCCTTCGCGCCAAGTGTGTTCGGCAAAGAAGCCCGTCCTGCTTCTCCACTGAATTTGTAGGACAAGGGGGGCCCTACCACCTAGGACAGCGCGCACATTTCGCCGGCAGCCAGAGCCACAAGACGACCATAGCGTGACGGGCAGGAACTTCGCATTGCCAGAACCAACTACTGTGATAGGACTAGGAACGGATATGCTCCAGTCGAGGCAGCGTGAGGTTGATCTCCGCGCGGTTCCAGACTCCGGTTCACTCAGTCAAAGGGGCCGCAAGGGCGTGACGGAAGCTATCGTCCAGGCACATATGGCTTTACACCAAGCACTTGAGCAGTTAAAACAGCAAGCCTTTGTTACGTTATTTTCCTTGCTCCTGAGTTGTACCGTTAACATGGATTACTGTTGCCCCTCAACCTACTATTTCTGAACAGTTCCCGCACTATGTCCGCTGTGCCTCTTCGTCGAAGATTTCAACAGCAACATACTGCAAGTCATATACCTTCAAGGGCCACGTAGAGCAATGACGCGTTTGCTCCCCGTGGTTTCCGAATAGGCACGTGTAGACGGACGAAAAGTCTCTTGAGATGCGGAGTGGGCTTTGAAGAACAGGAATGGAGTTTCGATGTGTTTATAAACCGTCATAGCTTGCAATGATCACAGGATATGATCGAAGACCCGCCGTACACTTGGTAGGCAACAGTGGCATGCGAGAGGAACAAACCTCACTCCCACAGAAAGGAGGTCCTGCAGCCGCTTTACACACCACTAAGGACCGACGTTCCTTCAAAAATATCTGTACACACAGTAAGCTTTGCGAACTCCCCCAAAAGTTTTGTTAAATCACCCCCTTCCTTGAAGAATGGAAAGCTAGCGAAAGCGGGCTACACTGAAAAGCATCAGTAACTGCTCAACAGATGCACAACGATGAGATCATCGCCTGTGGATAACAGGCTTTTAGACGTGGTAGCCCATGGAGGAAGGCAATTGAAAACCATCTAACACCGAACCCAAACCCTTAAACAATAAACCCCTAAACCCTCACCCTAAACCCTCAAACCCTCAAACCCTTGACCCTATAACCTAACTATAAACCCTAATTAAACGGCGAACGGTCACTTGTGCAGTAGGCAGTTGCGGTTGCACACCTGGTGAATTATGAACGCTTGGATACGGCGGAGTTAGGCACTTCAAGGCAAGCGCGTCGACTGCTAAACGGAGGCCGAATGACGTCTGCCTAATCGAAGCTTTCTGTCCACGTGCTTATGCAGCAAGGCGACAGGATCTCCAACTACCAGCGACAGGAGGTTTTGGTAGTAGCTTTAACTGCTGATATATTATATGGTTCGGAGGTGGACGTGATTATCCTGCTTCCCAAGATGTCAATACCAGATGAGCGCCGCGTCTGTCCAGAGCCGAAACAGCTTATGTACTGGGACAGCGTGACTTCCTGCCCTTTCGACGCAAAGTATGCATTACGCGGGCCAAAAGACAACTCGCGAATGCTCCTGCAGACACCGTTCTGTTGCAACTACATGGCATCTGGCCCCGAATGTGCCCTAGAACGACCCAAACTAAAATCCGAATCCCTGCTTCGCAGCCCTAAACTCAAACACTGAAAGCCCTAAACGCTGATCCCAAACGGTAGACACTAACAATCCTGGTCCTAAAACGTAAACCCTAAAGACTAAGTTCTACACCAAATTCCTTAGGTCTTAGTGCAGTAAACCGTAAATTTCGAATACTAAACACTAAAATATCAAGAATAAAGTACTAAATATTTAAACCCTGGAAGGGAAAATCAAATTAAGCAATTCAAATCTAGAGATAATGGATCTCAAAAGGCGTAGGGCTTGCACAAACCCACATCGAATTATATTCACATCTAAAGCTAATGCAGATTAAAAGGCGTAGGGTTTGCACAAAGCCGAACGCGATGCTTTGTGAATCGAGGGTCTCTGTTTGAGCATTTTCGTTAACGCTCGAGCTGCTGTCTTACAAAGTGATAAGCGTGTTTGGGCCCCTGACGAAGATCTTGCCTAAAGAGCTTACTTACTTAACACAGAAACAGCAAAACACCGAAAGATTTCATAGTGTCTCGTATCTATTGGGATTCGCAGTGAAAGAAGGCGTACGTTTTTGATCTAGGCGTCTGCAGGGAATGCGT